TCACTAACTCTTGGTATTTCAAAGCTATTTCTTGTTTTTGTTCTTGTTTTACAAATGGAGTCTTGGTACACTGCCTAGGCTGGAGTGCAGTGGCTATTCACAGGTGCCATCATAGCACACTACAACTTTGAATTCTTGGGCTCAAGTGATTCTCCCACCTCAGCCTCCCAAGTACCTGGGGACTGAATACACATGCACCATTGTACCCAACTCTCGCAAGGTTGTTTCTTTTTTAAGTGTTTTTCAAACAATCTAGAGTTTCATAAACTTTCACCAACAATTTTAAGTAGTGTCACATTCCCTATGATTCAGGTTACAGAATCTGTAAAGCATACCGGCCTAGCAGCTGTCCCCAGAACTACGCTAATTCTATCTAGCACCATATCTACAACCATAGACACTTGCTTTAATAGAAGTATAGCAGTTCCTTCTCAAGAAAAAAGCTAGGTTCTGACAGTGTCCCTGCATTTGGGATATTCATGTACAGGGCGATCATTGACAAAACAGGTTTGAAGGGATTGTGACTATAGGTGGAGTCTTCTGACAAACTTTACAAATATTTTTACATAAAATTATAGAGACTAAATGGCATTGTATCTATCCTAAATTAGTAATGTTGGGTACATTTTAACTAATAATCCATGTGACCTTCCTTGTTACTAGAAACATTTTAGGGTCCTTCTCACAATTTCAACAAAATATTTCCAATTTTGTTTTGTTGCACATATTATATATACCCAGAAGTGTTTTTTTCTTCTGTCTGGTCCTTTCTGCAAATGTCAAGTGCTTTTTTACTTTATAATCTGGAGGTGGTGACTTCTTGTTCCTTGGCCCCTACTGTAGTTCAAAGACACAGAATCACTTGAATGCTTGCGATGCTTTGGGAAGCTTTTATTTGAACTACTTGGCACAGCTAAGTGTTTTCCAGCCTTTTTCTCATAATACCAGATTATGTAGCCTTTATCTTTAGCCATGAAAACCTTATACAAAACACTCCTCATTAGTCCTTTCTACAAAGTCACAGGTTTAAATGCCTTCCTATTAATAAGGAACATAGATCCAAAGACTGATTTTACTTATCCTCATCTTCCTTTATTTCTTTTGAAAATGCAAAAACTACTTTGGTTTTGACCTTTGCTCTGACTCCCTTTTGTAGCCTCAGCATCTATTTTCCCTTATGATTGCCACAGTAGTACTTAGAATCTAAATTGGCAAGGAAAATGTATTTAGAAATACACTAGGATATTTGCATATTGAGTAAGAGAACTTGAGGTTGGCAGGGATCACAGAAATCCCCTCTGTTTATGACAGTCTGCTTTATCTTCTATGGAAGGGAAGCAGAATAACATACAGTTTGTCTAGGTTGAAAGTTTTTGGTAAATCACATTTTTTATTCTCTGAGACCTTTTTTATGTAGCACTTGCTATTGGTTTCTTTTTCTTCTTTTTCAATATTAAAAGAATTGTTGTGCTATTTTAATTTTTTTGTACCTTTTAAAATTCCTTTATTTTACCCCAGCTTCTTTTCTTCCTAATGCCAAATCTCTGTATTTTCCAAGTCTCCAACCTGGCTTATCTGTCTTAGCAATTAAAAGTACTATGTTGGCCAGGCTGGTCTCAAACCCCTGACTTCAGGTGATCCACCCACCTCAGCCTCCCAAAGTGCATCTCTACTAAAAATAGAAAAATTAGCCGGGTGTGGTGGCAGGTGTCTGTAATCCCAGCTACTCGAGAGGCTGAGACAGGAGAATCTGATCCCAGGAAGCAGAGGCTGCAGTGAGTTGAGATCGCACCATTGCACTCCAGCCCGGGCAACAAGAGTGAGATTCTGTCTCAAAAAAAAAAAAAAAAAGTACTAAATAGGCCAGGCATGGTGGCTCATGCCTACAATCCCAGGGCTTCGGAAGTCCAAGGTGTGTGGCTCCCTTGAGCCTAGGAGTTCAAGACCAGCCTAGGCAACATGGTGAAACACCGTCTCTATACAAAACACAAAAAATGTGCCGGGCGTGGTGGTGCCATTGCACTCCAGCCTGAACAACAGAGACCTTGTCTCAAGAAAGGCAAAAGAAAAAAAAGTGCTAAATATCCTTTTCTTCTGATAGAGACAGTCTGTGAAGGACAATCCTGCAAATTATTCAAAGGCACCACTAACAGAACCAACTAATGGCAGTCTGTTGCAGTTACAAGGTTTATGTTATTTTTCTTATGTATTTTTGGTTGTTCAAGGTAGGTAATATAATGTATAATTCAGGAAATCTGGATTAAATGAGTATAATTCATGCCAAGTAAACTTAAATGTCAAACTCTCAGGTAAGAGGGTAGAAGGAGACAAATACAAATTAGGAATGTACTTTTAAATGTAACACCCTAGGGAGGCAGTTTGCAGAGTGGTAAGGAACACAGACCCTAGAGCCAGAATGTCTGCTTGAATTCAGCTTTGTCCTTCATTGACTGTGCAACTTTTGAGTACATTTCTTATTTCTTATTTTTTTCCCTCAGATTCCTCATCTGTAAAGTGGAAGATGGTTTTTCCCCTCACATAGTTGTTACAAAGACTAAATTAGTTTCTTCAAAAAAAAAAAAAAAAAAACCACTTAGAACAGTGCCTGACAATAAGTACTACATAAATGTTGGTTACTATTAGTTACTCAAAATTATAATAATGAATTGGTCAAGGCTCCAGAAATATGTCAGATTTTAGAAGAATGTTTTTGGTAATGTTTCTGATTTTTAAAAGATCACAAATGTGGTTTGAATTAGTCTAAGAAAAAATGTTTTGTTTAATAACTGATTAATGAGTTTTTAAGAACTCATTTTGTATGACCCAGTACAGAATGGGATATTCACTAACAGAAGACGTCTGGCTGGCATAAAAAACGTTAAAGAAAATCCTAAGCATAACGTTAATCTCAACTCTGAAACACCAGCTTTACATTATTGTCTCAGTTCTCGAGTTCTGGCATGTCATGGAAGCAGACAGACTCCACGTTTTCGAAGTAGTAATTCTTGGTTATTGTTTTGACTTAGATAAATGACCTTGAGAAACTTTTTTTAGGCTTTGTGATTGTTATTTAAAGCGATAGCTGTGAAAGACTGTCAAAACATCTTTAACACTGTGCTTTTCAAAAAGAGAGGATAATTCCTTTGAAAGAAATAATGAATGGATATTAGAATCCCAGATATCAGAAGGAAAAGTGAGTTCACGGATGGCGTTAATCTGCCAAGACAGGGAAGTCTGTTTCAGGAGTTAATCAGCTTTGCTAACTTCATTCTGCTGAGCACACTCGAGTTATAGGATGTGGGCAAAGTGCACTGGGCAGCGCCTCAGGAAATTATTTTTCCAGCCAGGAAAGACTATGGCCCTTCTGCCTCTCTACAGTAATGTCCAATTCACAACCATTTAGTGTCTGGCTTTTCATTGAAGATGTGACTGACTTGAATGGCTTAAATGTTACATATTTAATACATGTGCTTCTTTTAATATTTCTGAACAAAGGTTTACTTTATAACAACTAATTTTATATTTTATTGTCTAGACATGAGTTACGGCAGTTTATATTCGATGTGGAGATAAATGAAACATACAAAAAGAAAACTTTTGAACTGAGAGCATGTTTAAGAGGATTATAGCATTAATTACAAGAGAACTTCAGAATTTTCGAGGCAGCATGATCTGATGTAGCAAATACTGGCTTAGGAATGTTAAAGCAAGCTAAATACGGCCTGAGAAGGACTCTGTACTTCTGTATTTGAGTCCTTGCGTACGAACTATAACCTAGCTTAACAGGCAGACGAGTTTGAAAACCTAATTTAGGGGTATGCACCTGTAACAACTGAGTCTTGGCCAATCCCAGCTGCCATACTTCAACCAGTCATACACTGCTGATTGTTCAAACTGTGTTCAAGTACAAACGCCCACCTGTAACCAATCCAGCTGTTTCTGTACTCACTGCCGATTTCTGTACATCACTTCCATCTTATGGTCTAAGAGTTTGTTCTGACCACGAGGCATCCCTGGAATCTCTGAATCTTCTGTGATTCTGGGGGCTACCCAGTCCTTTGTTGCTCAATTTAACTCCTTTAAATTTAGTTCAGCTGAAGTTTTTATTTTAACATGAATCAGACTGGTGAGCCTTGAATCCTACCTGTTTATCTCCTGCCCATCTGAAGTTGTAAAGTTACTTAGTACCCCTAGGCCTGTCTCTTCACTTATAAAATGGGACAATACGACCTTGAAATCTTGAAATAATTCAACTAGATATATATATGAACGGTAGAAAAATGCTGTCTCCAACGTTCTGTTCAAATTCTCACCCCCCTGCCCCGCCCCCAGCACTTCCCGTGGGGGAAAAAAATCAAAACACTTAATTCCCAGTATAACTGTTAAGGTTTGCAGTAAAAGAAAATTTCACATGTGAAATGATTACCAAGAAAGTACTGTATACGCAGTGGGGGAAAGGACCAACCCTCAACCAGTTTAATATCTTGGCTATTAATTCTACACTAACTTAATTTCAACGTACAAAACTTTCCCTTAGTATTATAATGAAAAAAACATTTGTACAGACAGTAAAGAGAACCAGGAACCAGAAAAATTTCCCTCATTCTATAGATATAAAACATTTGTAACTCGGGTCACTAACAGTTATGTATGGGAATGCATTATTTAAGTAGTGGGAGCTTTATGTCCAGTTTCCCAGGAAGATCTATCCCTAGGGAAGCCTTTAGGATGAAACTGATCTGGGAACAGAGGTTTGAGCCCGGTTAACTCTAGAGGTCGTCCCAGACATTTCAGGACGCCAAGTATCTTACACTTACATCCGGCCTTTTTTTTTTTTTTTGAGACAACAGTTTCTGTTGCCCAGGCTGGAGCGCCGTGGCGCGATCTAGGCTCATTGTAATCTCCGCCTCCCGGGTTCAAGTGATTTTCGTGCCACAGCCTCCTGAGTGGCTGGGATTATAGGCGTTCACCGCACCTGGCTACTTTTTTTTTTCCCCTTCTTTTGAGACGGACTCTCGCTCTGTCGCCAGGATGGAGTGCAATGGCGCGATCTCGTCTCAACGCAACCTCCACCCCGCCTTGGATTCAAGCGATTCTCCTACCTCAGCATCCCGAGTAGCTGGGATTACAAGCATGCGCCACCACGCCCGGGTAATTTTTTTGTATTTTTAGTAGAGACGGGGTTTCACCATGTTGGCCAGGATGGTCTCCAACTCCTGACCTCAGGTAATCCGCCCACCTCGGCCTCCAAATTGCTGGGATTACAGACGTGAGCCACTGCGCCCGGCCTGAAGATGTAAAATCTACCACGGAAGGATGATCTAAGTGGGAAAGGAGATGACAGGTGACGGCCTCCTAAGTGGAAGCAAGAAGGAGCTGACCATTGCAGCCGAGGGCTTCTCTCAGCACCCACCCTGCTTCCCGCAGCATCTGGGGTCCCCGTCACACCCCTCGGAGCCTTTGGTGCACCAGACAGGGGGAACTTGGAAGAAGCAGGCCAAGAATCGCCCCCTCCCGCCCCGCCTCCGCTCCAGCTGTCCCCTCGCAGGGCGGCCTCCAGCGTGCTACGGACCGCGCAGTCCCACGGACCAGGTAGTGCGCGTCTCTGCACCGAAAATGTGCACATCCACAGTGCAGTCACTAACAGGTATTACTCCTGGGTCCCTTGTGCGTCTGTTTAGGATGTGACGGAAACCAGACACCATAGGGAGACCTGGGCTCTCTGTGGTGGCAAAGCCTGTTCAGCCTGGGCGCGCGGAAGGAAACCTCGGAAGTCATTTCCATTAGCTCCCCTTCCCCCAAACTGATCCGCTTCTGTCAATCCGTCCCTAGAAACAATGGCGAGGCCGGGGACGTTTTAAAAATTCTGCATTGGAAAACCCCTGAGAATACTGAGGGACGGACAGCTCCACTCACCTGTCAGCCCTGGGGCCGTGCGCGAAACCGCGAGAAAAACCAGCTGGTGCGCAGACGCACGCCGTCCTACAGCTGCTTGCCCGCCCCGCCCCGCGCCCTGCCACGCCCCCGCACGCCACTAGCCCCACCCGTCTCCCCGGCCCCGCCCCGCCTCTCGCCCAGTCCAGTCCCTCCCCCGCCCCTTGATCCTCCGCGTTTTCCTGGCAGGCCAGTTTGGCTTTAGCCTGAATTGCGCCCTCCCGGCCTAGGGTGTCGCTGTACCGGCTTCTGAGCTCCACACAGACAAGTCCCGCGCTCAGGCAGGGGTAGGAGACAGAGCGAAGCGGCTGGGGGCGGTGTCGCCGCGGACTAGGGACGGCGGAGTCGGTAGTCCCTGCGCTATGGCCGCCTCGGTGTTTTGCTGCCTGCCGTGCTGCAGAGACGGCGGGACCGGCCACATCCCTCTGAAGGAGATGCCGGCTGTGCAGCTAGACACGCAACACATGGGTAAGGGCCCTCCTTTCCCCAGACTCAACGTCTCAGGGGGGCCGGGCGCGGCAGGCAGGGAGACCTGCAGGGTCAGAAGGTCCTCACGCTGCCCCGCCGCGCTGGTCGCGCTGCCCCGACATCATTTCGTCTTGCAGATCTCTCCAGACGCCGGCGGACTCCACCTGGGCCTGGTTCTGTGTTCAAGGCTACGCAGCCCTCTCTGTCATCGCCAGTGGGCGTGTGGACCTCCCATTTTCACGGGAATCTCCTAGGGCTTCCTCTAGAGATGTCACACGTCCCCAGGCGAGGGGGCGGAGAGTGCCCTCCTGGCGCGCCCCAATCAAAACCTACACATTTTCAGTATGCTTCTAGGTCTGGTCTGCTCCTCCTTCTGCCCTGTCGGTCTTGTCTCTTGAGCCCTGTCATTTATAGATAGAAGCCTATATTACGGAAGTAATTTTTCTCTCGCCTCCTAAAGTCAAAACAAGGCAGATTGCAGAAGTCTGAAGTCGCACCTGAGGTCAGAACTTGTCATTTCAACTAAAATCTCCCATTGCCCGACTCCTTAGTCATTGTTAGAGGTGCTGTCATTTCATCTGGCCTCTTTCCAACAGGTAGGCTGTTGCAAAATAAAATAGCACTTTGTTTCTTTGCATCTTGCTTTTTCCTTTCAATTCCAAGTTCATATAATTTATGTAACATTCTTTCTTTCCCGTCCCAGCCTTTCACCACCTTATTATTTCTGTTTAGACGTTTCCCATGTAGTTTCATGCTTCTGGATTGTGGTTCTAGAAGGAGAGATTTCCCAATATAATTATTTCAGTTAGAGTACTGTCTTTTTGTGGATTATTTTATTCTAACTATACTTATGACTTTTGATTTTTCACACATCTGATTGTTTAAAGGATAGCACATTGAAATAAAAAGGCAGTTCTTAATATTTATAATAAAGCCCTCTCTTGCCCAGATTTCTTATAATTCTGGAAATACTCTGCCCACTATATTTTTGTATAACACATACTAAATGTGATAATTATATAATTACCTTGTACATGTGTATTTACTTTTAATTCTTAGATCTCCCAAAGGTAGTACAGAACCTTAATACATAATCTTTAATTAATTTATTTATTCATTTATTCTGAGACAGAGTCTTGCTCTGTCACCCAGGCTAGAATGCAGTGGCACAATCTCCGCTCACTGCAACCTCTGCCTTCCAGGTTCAAGTGATTCTCCTACCTCAGCCTCCCAAGAAGCTGAGATTACAGGCACTTGCCACTATGCCTGGCTAATTTTTGTATTTTTAGTAGAAATGGGGTTTCACCATGTTGGTCAGGCTGGTCTTGAACTCCTGACCTCGTGATCCACCAGTCTCAGCCTCCCAAAGTGCTGGGATTACAGGGATGAGCCACAGCACCCAGCCTAAATTATTTCATATCCATCATCATTTATAGACGATGGAGTTCAAATCCTAGTTTTCCTCAGAAAAATGTTTCCATTTCACTTACTCGTTTACTGAAGTAATACTTATTAAGCAACTATCAGGTGGCAGGCATTGTTAAAAGTGCTGAGAATGTAGTGAAGGAAAACCACTACATAGTTCCTGGATCTCATCATCAACTGCAGCACTTCTTCCTAACTCTGCTGTTAGACTCTTGAATTACTGCAATCTACTCTTTAGAGCATTCCTTTTCTCTGGCATCTGTTTTCTCTAGGAAAAGCTGGTCGGATATACTCATTCCACTATGTTTTATTTCTCTAACGCTGTCCAGCAACTTTCAGCTGCTAATTGGATGAAATAGAGTAATGTCATCTCCAAATTTTCTAACTGCAGTAGAACTTTCTTCTTAACCTGTCTTTGTGTAAACTTAAATTCTTCAATCACAGAGGAGCCTGATTTGAGAACTTGAATGAAATGAGAGAAAAGAGTTGTTGAATTAGAAGAAGAGCATGTTTCAAACATGAATTGATCTTGACTTGAAAATAGAAACACATGGATTTGGTTATGTGAAAGATTTTTATATTAAATAATCTAAGGAATATGATTTTTTAACAAAATTGTCTGTATACTTCATATACAAGTGTTATCTCTCTCAGAGTTGTCACTTATTTCGGTGATAATGTATTACTTAAAAAGACTTTGGAATTCCTCTTTTGGAATTTTCTATGGCATAGTTTTTGTAAGTATCATCATTGATTCCGTATCTTTTGCTTTTAATTGTGAATTGACTTTTTAGAGACAAATGACTTCCAAGGTAGCTACTTTGAAAGGGATACCACTTATTTGGAAATTTATGTTTTATGTTTCATGTTTCTTTTTTTTTTTTTTTCTTTTTTTAAATAGAGATGGGGGTGTCACTATGTTGGCCAGGCTGGTCTCGAACTCATGACCTCAGCTGATCCACCCATCTCGGCCTCCCAAAGTGCTGGGATTACAGGCGGGAGCCACCACACCGGGCTGAAATTTATGTTTGTTAAAAGATCCCTGATGGCTATGTTTATTGGTCTTCTGGCTGTACTCAAATTTGCCTTGACTTTCTAAGCAGTACCAATCATTAATAAAATTACAGATTCAAATACAGAGCATCTTTGTACTTAATAAAGAGAAATGGGATAAGCTTAAAATGATTCCCAAATGATTCATAAACACCCTGAATTTTTTTTTTTTTTTTTTTGAGAGGGAGTCTTGCTCTGTTGCCCAGGCTGGAGTGCAATGGCCCGATCTTGGCTCACTATAACCTCCACCTCCCAGGTTCAAGCAATTCTCCTGTCTCAACCTCCCAAGTAACTGAGATTACAGGTGCATGCCACTGTACCTGGCTAATTTTTGTATTTTTAGTAGAGATGGGGTTTTACTATGTTGGCCAGACTGGACTTAAACTCCTGACCTCAAGTAACCAGCCTGCCTCGGCCTCCCAAAGTGCTGGGATTATAGGTGTGAGCCACCATGCCCAGCCAAGAGAGTGTTTTTATCCCATTGTGCTCTGCAAAAGTCCTAAGACTCTAATTGTAGTAGATTAGGTCAGGTAGCAGTTCTTGACTCAGTTCAAGTGGCCAAGAAATGTGGAGGGCACTGACTGCCTTAACCTAGGACCGATGTTTTATACCTGTAGCTAGAGATTGAGACAACTTTCTTGGAACTGTTTGGATCTCCAGAGGGAAGTCTGTCAGGGAAGGGAGAACAGATGCTACATGTCCACTAGAAAGTGTTTAGCACAGCGTATTCATTCATTTGTCAGTTATTTCATGAGCAGCTGCTCGATGCCAAACACTGCATGGTCTTTGCCATCAGGGAGGATGCTCTCCAGTTGAAACTACTGAAGGTATATGGAGTAGCCAGATGCAAGTGATTTGTAAAAGTCCTTTCCCAGAATTTGGGGGTTAACTTTTTTAATTAGAAAAAAAAAGATGCTAATGAATTTTTAGTAATCATACAATGGGATCCCAGTTTTGCCTTGTTTAAGGGAGAGCATCTCTTAAATCAGCCGGTTTAGAATTGTGTTAGAATCTGAAAATTTTGCATTTCTCTTATGTGTTTGTCCCAAATAATTTTGTTTAACTGTGAATTCAAACTTTTGTTACTGTGCCCTAGTTTTATTTAACCCTTTCTGTAAGAGTCCCATAGAGTTCTAATATTCAGATCTGCTTGGCTGGTATAGCTATTGCCAGCAAAGTGGTATTATTGGCCACAAGTATTGGGAGTTATATGCATTGGTGCATGGGCTATATCTTACATATTAGAATTATGTAATTCTGTATATTCTTACATATTAGAGTTGTGTATATTCTCTGATATACATGTTTTTCTTAATTAAATTGGTACTAGGATCATATCAGTAGACAATGTCTTTCTTTCTCACTCTTGTCTATAGATATTGTTTAAGCTAAAATAAAAATTTTCCACGAGAATAAAGTGCATATTAAAACCTTATTCACATATTCGCAATGTGATTGGAGTAGCTATCTTAATAAACATTTTAAGATCCTAAAGTTAGCAATTTTTTTATTGTCAAGTATTTTAACATAGATATGTGCTCTTTTTCATATTCCCTGTACTTTTCAGTTCATACATGACTAATGCACAAGTATAGCCGCTTGTATTTAGTCTGTATTCAGCTGGCTTTTAGTAAATTGTTTTAATTTATTTGAATAGAATTGAAAACTACCAATTTACTAAAGTCTCTTGTGTTTATGTTTTCGTTTAAATTAAGAAATTGTGAAATCATCAAATTGGCTCCTTGGCTAAAAATTAAAGGAGTTAGTCTATTCCCACCTTAAAAGTGTTTTAAACATTCAATATAATTCAGAGTTATTACAGTTTACTTGAAACTGCTTAATTAAAACTTACTAACCTCACCCAGGCTGGAGTGCTATGGTGTGATCTTGGTTCACTGCATCCTCTGCCTCCCAGGTGCAAGTGATCTTCCCACCTCAGCCTCCCAAGTAGCTGGGACTACAGGCTCATACCACCACACTGGCTAATTTTTCTATTTTTTGTAGAGGTGGGGTTTTGCAGTGTTGCCCAGTCTGGTATCAAATTCCTGCACTCAAGCAGTCTGCCCACCTCGGCCTCTCAGAGTGCTGGGATTACAGGCATGAACCACTGTACCCGGCCCACTTAACTAAAACTTATAGATACAAATGAATATTACTTATAAATGTTGTCTTAGAAAAAATAGTGAATTAAGTATTTAAGATTATATTTCAAAGTACTTATAGTGTCCCTATTTTTAGGGGGCTGGGTTGGAACCGAACAAATTAATTCTGATTGTTGGATATGAAAATACAAAAGTTGGCCAGGTGTGGTGTCTCATGCCTATAATCCCATCCCACTTTGGGAGCCTGAGGCGGGTGGATCACGAGGTCAGGAATTCAAGACCAGCCTGATCAATATGGTGAAACCCCCTCTCTACTAAAAATACAAAAATTAACTGGGCGTGATGGTGCGTGCCTATAATCTCCGCTACTCGGGAGGCTGAGGCAGGAGAATCGCTTGAACCCGGGAGGTGGAGGTTGCAGTGAACCAAGAGCGTGCCACTGTACTCCAACTTGGCAGCAGAACAAGACAATGTCTCAAAAACAAAACAAAAAACAAAAAACGGCCTGGTGCAGTGGCTCACGCCTGTAATCCCAGCACTTTGGGAGGCCAAGGCAGGCGAATCACAAGGTCAAGATCAAGACCATCCTGGCCAACACAGTGAAACCCCGTCTCTACTAAAATACAAAAATTAGCTGGGCATGGTGGCGTGTGCCTATAGTCCTAGCTACTTAGGAGGCTGAGGCAAGAGAATTGCTTGAACCCAGGAGGTGAGGGTTGCAGTGAGCTGAGATCATGCCACTGCACACCAGCCTGGTGCCTGGCGACAGAACAAGACTCTGTCTCAAATAATAATAATAATACAAAAATTAGCCAGACATGGTGGCGTGCGCCTGTAGTCCCAGCTACTTGGTAAGCTGAGGCAGGAGAATCTCTTGAACCTGGGAGGCAGAGGTTGCAGTGAGCTGAGATGAGGCCACTGCACCCCAGCTTGGGCAGCAGAGTGAGACTCCTTCTTAAAAAAAATAAATAAAATAAAAATAAAAATAAAATACAAAACTTTACATAGTGTCTGCATTTTTTGTTTAGGAACAGATGTTGTCATTGTAAAGAATGGAAGAAGAATATGTGGAACAGGAGGTTGTTTAGCCAGCGCACCTTTACATCAAAACAAAAGCTATTTTGAATTCAAAATCCAGTCCACAGGTTGGTATAATAGTACTTTATTAAAAGTCCTAATTGTTCTAAATATTAAGAGTGATTTGTAACATATAAAAAAGATTCAGAAGGTAATATGAAACCCTCAAACTCTTAGAAGATCTGGGTCTTCCACCCGTTATTGTGTGATCCCCAGTAAATTAGTTAATTTAGTTATATTAGGTTCAGTTTTCTTATCTATAAAATGGATATTACAGGAGCTGCTCTTTCTGCCTTACAGGAACTCTATGAAAGTGTTTTAAGACAAGACATGCTGGATAAATGTAAGGCACTAGCATTTTTAATGGGATCCAGATGTACCCTCTTGTTTGGTTAAGCATATAAGGTCAAACATATAAGCAGCATATAGGCTTGCTGTTTGTTTTAGGATTAAAGTCAATCTTTTGATTCTGAGTTTTTCTCTTAGTTATTAAGATACCTTGATTCAGTGTTTTGAAGCAATCATCAAATTCAGAATTCAGATAGAAGTCTATATTTCTCTTTTTATAATTTATGGAGTTTCTTGAATTGTAAAGCAATTCTATGTGATTATAATAGTTTAGTTAACTGTGATAGTATTGTATATGGGGAAACTTTTTAAATAAAAGCTTTATTGTAAAGTGGCCAGGCATGGTGGCTCACACCTGTAATCCCAGCACTTTGGGAGACCGAGGTAGGCAGACTACCTGAGGTCAGGAGTTTGAGACCAGCCTGGCCAACATGGCGAAACGCTGTCTCTACTAAAAATACAAAAATTATCCAGGCGTGGTAGTGTAGTCCCAGTTACTGGGGAGGCCAAGGCAGGAGAATTGCTTGGACACAGGAAGTGCAGGCTGCAATGAGCTGAGATTATGCCATTGCACTCCAGCCTGGGCAACAGACCAAGACTCCATAAAAAAAAAAAAAAAAAAAGCAGCCAGGCACTGTTGCTCACATCTGTAATTACAACACTTTGGGAGGCTGAGGCTGTGGATCATGAGGTCAGGACTTTGAAACCAGCCTGGCTAACATACTGAAACCCACCTCTACTAAAAATACAAAAAATTAGCTGGGCGTGGTGACTGGCACCTGTAATCCCAGCTACTTGGGAGGCTGAGGCAGGAGAATTGTTTGAACCTGGGAGGC